GGAGCAGGCAAAGACTTCTTAAATAAGACTCCCAAAGCATAGGCAATAATCCCAAAAATATTCAAGTGGGATTACATCAAATTCAAAAGCTTCTGAACAGCAAAAGAAACCAATAATTAGGAGTGGGAGAATATATAGAATATATTTGCAAACTCTCTCTCAGATAAAAAGGATTAGCAACCTTATTATACAGAGAACTCAAGCAATTAACCTGTAAAAATAAAACAACCAAGACACATTCAATCCAATTAAAAAATGGGCACATGAGCTGGGCAGACAACTCTCCAAGAAAGACATATGAATGGCCACAAAAGTGCATGAATAAATGTGCAACATCTCTTAATTTCAGTGAGATGCAAATCAAAATCACCTTGTGTTACCACCTAACCCCATTCAGAACAGCTAAGATGAAAAAGATTAAGAATGATGAGGCTGCTGCAGGTGAGAGGGGAACCTCAGTGGGAAAGACACTTGCAAACCCATGCTTACTACAGCATTATTCACAATTGCTAAGACATGGAACCAACCAAAGTGTCCATGAACAGATGGATGAATTGAAAGTTGTGGAACATATACACAATGAACATTACTCAGTCATAAAAATAATGAGACTCTGCCATTCGATAGAAAGTGGATGAATATGGAAGATTTGATGCTCAGCAAAGCTAGCCAGGTATACAAGAGAGGCATTGTATGTCCCCACTTAATATATATCCAATGTCTGCTCTCTACGACAGAAATTGAAAGATCAGGTATAAAAGGTATAAAAGTACGGAGAGCAAATATGGATGCTGGAGACAGTGTGGGAGGAGGGTCAGAAATGGTGAGGAGAGGTGGAAGGAAGGGATCAGGGGAGAAATAAAACAAACACTTAGTGGGCCCAAAAGTGGAAAACTGTCTGTTGATGATAACATGTAGAGTCATTTATTTGAATGGACTAATACACAATGTATTCATGCTAGAAAAGTTAATTTTGCATGCTGTAAATGTAAAGAATGATCAAGTATAAACATAATAATAATAATAACAAAATAAAAGAAAGGGGAACAAAATAATACCTAATATTCAGTTAGTTCTTTACTAATGTTACCAAACTCAAATCAGGTTTACTCGCCCTCGCGCTATAAAACCAAGCCATAGGCACATGGTGTGATGAAGGGAAGTACAGCTTTATTGCAAAGCACAAAGCAAAAAGAGACAACAGCTCATGCTGAAAAGACCCGGGATGTTCCCCACATGCCTTTTTAAGGACAAAAGTTAGGGGAAGAGGTCTTAGGCACATGATCAGTTCAGTGATTGGTTCAAGAGGGCGAGATCATGGGCATCTCTCTCTCTCTCATGGGCATTCTTGATTGGTGAGGCCTTAGATAATCAAATTCCCCTTCAGGTGTCTGGAACCGTTTAGTCTGGGGTCTTTGAGCTCACAACCAGCAGTTTCCAGCCTACAAAACATCTTACATATTGAAATAAAAAGCTTCTTTCCTTTGAATGAGAGTTTTAGAGGTCAAATGGCCCTCACTCATGGTCCATGTTGGTCATTATCATAACCAAAGTCTGAAGATTTACTCCTTACTCTGGGTCATTACAATGTATATGGACTTTATATTTCAGGAACCCTAGAAAATACAGTAGGGGGTTCCTAACGCTGACCTCTTTTTAAAATAGTTTTTACATACGCTAAACATTTAATGCTTGTTTATATTAATTAAGTCTTCATGACATCCCAGAGAGGTCAGTTTTTAGCAGCAGAAGTAGTGGTAGTTAAGAGGAGGACATTGAGACCAAGAAAGGTAAATTCAAGTTGTTAAGTGTCAGGCCTTGAAAGTGCTAGAGAAGAGAGTCAAATCTGAAGAGTCTGCCACTAGAGCTCATGTTCTTACTTTCATCTGTATCTTCCTCTATTTTTTTTTTTATTTTAGTGTTGACATTTTTAAAGATAGCAAATATTCATTTAAGAATCAAAAGCACACTTAATCTATTACTTAAAATCCCAGAAGTAAGAGACTACTTTGATAGCTGTTAAAAAAAAAAAGAGAGAAAGAAAATATTTGTAAGCAGCAATTTCTCTTCTGGTAGATTCTCCACAGAAATTCATATAAACGATCTGCCATTGGACATGGAGAATAGCACCACCAGAAATTGTCCATTCGTCTGTCCAGCAAAAGCAGAATGACAGACAAGCCCATGTCAAGGTGATCAAGGGTGGTCGTGTATCCTACATGGCCGACCCATGCAGTTCGAACCCACACATTTCAAAGTTTGAAAAATTACACCCGGCATGAGGGTGTGCTTCCCCAAATTTCAAAAGGAGGGGAGAGATGGAGAAGAAGGGACTGAGGCATGACTATCCCCCTTGGGGGTGGGGTGGGGTGGGTACTTTCTTACTCTCAACTTTTCTGGCCAGTGCGCCCAATCCTGAGAAATTAAAAACAAAAACAGAATGGCATACACACAACAATTAAAACATAATTATTATTGAGTGCCCATTTGAGCAGCACATATACTATGTTAAAATTAGAAGCATATACAGTATAGTAGCATTGCTTCTTTTGAGTATACAAATGACACGCATATCTGTAATGTGGGTTTTATATATTAGAGAGTAGAATGCTGGCTATGCAAGGGTTGATGAGGTGGAAGGGCATAGGGGTGGTGGTGAATGTCTTGAGGAGAGCTTTGCAGGTCCCAAGAGTACAAAATGTATTGGACTGCCAGCTGGTGATGTGGTGATTGGAGTGCTGATCTCCCACAGGGCATATAATGGTTTGGTGTCCTGGACCTGGTGACCTGCTTTTTCACTTCATCTCTCTCTCTCTCTCTCTCCCGCTCTCTCTCACTGGTGAGTGAACAGGCCCTGTATTGGAAGAAGTGGAGCAAAGGGTTGCCCTGTGACCATGCCCCCACTAGGGGGGTGCTTTCTTCTCTCGCTCTGTCCCTCGCAAAAGCACATGTCTGGCAATAAAAAAATAAATAAATAAATAAAAATTTAGAAAAGAAAAGAAAGGATGGAAGGAGATTGCTAAGAAGGTAATATGTGAGGTAAGAGGTATTTAATTTTATATTTAGTCATTCCACATGTACACATACAGTAAAACATAGTTAAAAAAAAAAAAAGCTTGACCATCACCCAAGTTATATTAAGCAAATGAAGCTCAACATACTATTTTTAATTTCTATTTATTTATTGAAGTATGAAAGAAAAGATGTTCAGTGATACTTGTTAAAGCATAGTAAGGCAGACTTAATTCAGGACCATCACTATTTAGGTATAGGAACCACAGAAGTAGGTTCAACTCCAAATACAGTCCAGATGTTGTACTGGAATTTTTAGCCAATGGGAAGGGTAGGGCAGGCGAAAGCAGCCTAACTGGATTCTTGCATAAACCAGGCCTTGCAGGGTGGTCAGATATCACCTGGGGGAGGATGGAAGATGTAGAAGCCTCTTTACATATGAAGGGAAGAGTTGGCTTTTGCTCAACTGATTTAGTAGGACTTCTGCTAACATGTGGATTTTTACAAGGCAGTGCACACATACGCTGAAGAGAAAGTTCACAAATTTCACTAAAATTCTGAAGCAAGCAGAGACCCTTTGTCAGAAGCTAAAGAAAAGAAAAATAAATGTGGCGATGAAGGTCAGAATAGAGCTTATTTCTAGGAACAGTTTATTGACTGGTTGATTGATTTTTATATTACATTTTATCACGTATATCTTTACAGTATATAACATTTCTCTTTCCAGCACGATTACCATGCATATCAGTCAAGACAAAGACATTACTACCCACAGTGGTTTTAAATGTCATGAAGTAGTTTTGGCAGTTGTTTAAAAGGTAGTGGGAGGAAATTCTCATTTGCCATGATGTTCAGGTTAATTTTTTTTTTTTTCCTGGCATAGTCTGTGGAAATAACTCCTTTTTAAAAGTCCTGAACTTTCACAAACGTGGTTTCTGTTTCTAACATATACTATTTTACTGTTTGACCTTTATTACTCAAGGCACATTTTTTTTAATGTTTTAGAACATAGGTATTGTAAAGTTGATTTTAAGACATGAATTCTGTTTTGACAATTTATTTTTTTATGCTAAAAAGTGATAGCTTTGTTGGTAATCTGCCAGTTTTCTACGTTAGCTTGCCTCTGGTTTACCTTTCCATTAAAAATCTCTCCAAATGAGATTTTTCTGCATTCCTGACTCCCAGACCGGCACACTCATAATCCGAATAGCTCATGGTCTCCTATTCTATCTTTTATTTTGTAACTCATAACATAAAAAGGGTAGCGCGGTGGCGGAAACAAGTAGATTGCCGTTGCTATAAAACAATTTTCAGAAGACAGGTGAAACAGTGACTCTCACAGCTATAATGATGAACACTAGGCAAAGACTTTCATTTTACCTGATAGAAGTTAGGTCCAGAGCACACAGATTTACATGGAGCAAAGAAACTGTATCATGAATAGAGGCAAAAACGGATTCATGTCTGTAAAGAAGAAAGACTGTAAAAGACACCAGACAAGACAGATTTTTACATATCCATTTGTGTGTTATCAGCGATTTACAGCGAGGATACACTCAATGCAGCTGAAAGGAGATCAGTCACCCACCCGCGGTTTACAAAGGACCGCTTTACACACTAGAGACCTTTCGGACCAAGTATGACATTTTCTTCTGTCACTTAATTGTGTGTGTGTTTCTCATCACCATACGTTATTTGTGAGTTACACATCTTAAAATAATGCAAGACGTGCCTCCTTAAGTTGGTAGTGCGAAACAGCCATAAGCATATGCCGAATAGATTCTGACTGCTCTACTTCTTGGTGCATCAAACGTGTTTACACACCTTATTTGAAATTGTGCTAAAGATGAGTGACAGAAAAACTGAGATGAACTGGACCTTCATTAGCGAGGAGAACAAAGTCAACATCGAAAATAAACGTGACCAAGTCAGGGCTGTACGCTTGCTTGCTTGAGAAGCAGCATTCCCCTAGATCTGCATAGCCAGGGTTACCCGACAATTAACGCAGGTTTCTCCAATTGCTGTGAACCGCCTTGGAGCAGGGAGCTGGCTGTGTTTCTGGACTGTGAACACTGCTCCACTCGTGAGCATATGGCTTTACTACAGCCGTCCCTATACGTGAGGGTGTACAACCTCTCTTCCACGTTTATTTCGCTGTACAATTTTGAAGAAGGGTCTACCGGCAGCAAACTGCCACCCTTCTTAACCTTCCGCCGAGGTCGATACTTATAGTCCGGGTATTTCTCCCTGTGCACGTCCTGTAGTCTCCGTGCCTCCTGGAAGAACGGCAGTTTTTCGTCTTCTGTAAGCATTTTCCACCGGGATCCGAGCTGCTTGCTGATCTCTGAGTTTCGCATTTTCGGATTCTCCAGAGCCAGCTTGCGCCTCTGATCTCGAGACCATACGAAGAACGCGTTCATGGGTCTCTTGACCCGGTTCTGGCTGTGCTCTTTATAATTTACTCCTGTTTCACGGCGATAATTTGAGCGAGAGCTGTCCGTCGCAAGAAAGGAAGAGTTTTTCTCCAAGGCGAAGAGATTCTGTTGTTCTAGGGCTGGGCTGCAATCACTGCTGTTCCAAATCGTGAGCATAGCTGAGAGCATGTGATTACACCGTCCAAAAGTAGGGGGGGGGGGACAAAAAAAAAAAACAAAAGGGGGGGGGTCGAAAAACTTTGCCTCCTGGAAGAACGGCAGTTTTTCGTCTTCTGTAAGCATTTTCCACCGGGATCCGAGCTGCTTGCTGATCTCTGAGTTTCGCATTTTCGGATTCTCCAGAGCCAGCTTGCGCCTCTGATCTCGAGACCATACGAAGAACGCGTTCATGGGTCTCTTGACCCGGTTCTGGCTGTGCTCTTTATAATTTACTCCTGTTTCACGGCGATAATTTGAGCGAGAGCTGTCCGTCGCAAGAAAGGAAGAGTTTTTCTCCAAGGCGAAGAGATTCTGTTGTTCTAGGGCTGGGCTGCAATCACTGCTGTTCCAAATCGTGAGCATAGCTGAGAGCATGTGATTACACCGTCCAAAATGGGGGGGGGGGGGACAAAAAACAAAACCAGAAGTGTGAGAGTTCAGAAACTTACTTTACTCTTCAAAACTTATTTCTACCGGAGACCTCGTTACTTCTACCTTTTGTAAGGGAAAACTCGTTTCCCCACCCACTTCTCCTGCCCCCACCCTTGTACACTGCTGAGTCCTTCCCAACCAAACTACAACCCTACCCGTTCTTAAGCAAAACAGTCTCAATTCATTAACACTGCCTAAGTACTCAACTTTTGATAGGCTTTCCTAAAGACTCCACTGTTCTTAAAAATGCAAAACTAACGTTCCGACTTTCGAAACCGCCTTAAAAACATCCCTCTTACACCCAGGTTGAAGTTTCAGCAAACAAACGTATTAGCACATTGTGTGTCGCTATCAATATATGTGAACGTTAATAGTTTAAAAACAAAACTTAAAGAGGAGTTAAGTCTGTTAAACACACGCCCTGGCTACTGACATTTACAGTAGTCATCCTTGCATACGCAGGTCTACTGAAACTACAATTGAAAATTGTACGGAACGGTTTTTTACAATTTGCCAGCGTGCGTATACGCCCCAGAATGAGACGAAGGAGAGAAAGGGAGAGAGCCTGAGAGAGTAAGCACAAAGCAGCGGGCTGTGGGGGATGGTCACATCGCAATCCCTTCAGTTCCTTTTCCACCTCCACCTGGATTCAGAACTTCAACCCAGCAGTCAGCAACTTCTGCATCCAGTCCCCTCCACCACCAGTCCACAGGCTGACTATCTACTAAAAATTCTGATGGCAAGTATTCCAGAGCTCCATGCTAATAGCTATATATTAAGTATCAAGATGTTAATATGTACTTGCAGGTATGGCTATAGCCAATTTCTGGAAGGACTAATAATTAAGAAACTGTTCTTGACCTGTTAGTTCCAGTAGTTTTGTTTTAACATGGTCTTTTTTTTTAAGACTTGTTTTTATTTAACTTTATTCATTCATTTTACTTTAAGTTGACCACACACACACACACACACACAGAGAGAGAGAGAGAGAGAGAGAGAGAGAGAGTAAGTGAGAAAGCAAGCTGTCAAGTCTGGGACTTGAAGCATGGTCACTCCTGTGGGAATGTCCAGCGCCTTAACCACCATGCCACCTGCTGATCTCCTTCTCATGGTCTTTTTCAACTTGTTCCTGTTTAACTACAGATGACTTCTGTTGTAGATGCACAAGTTTAACTGTGCATATTATATATAACTGTATTACATGTCAACAACACTATGATTATGACCTTTATTTATATTTTTAAAAATCACAAATATTTAGTCAATTTATCATGTCATAAATCTCTGTACAGCTTCCATTTCTAAGTGCTTAACTGAACACTATATGGCAATAAAAATGTAATGCTATAATTAACCAGCCATTAAAAATTCATTCTGGGGTGAAAGGCGGAATGGGGGGGAGGCAGAGAAAAAGAAAAGAAACTGTTCCATTCAAAGAAAACCAGGTGGGGCCAGCAGGTAACAGGCATGATGGTTTAAGGCACTGGACCCCCATGTGGCTGGGTGCCTAGAGATTTTCTCTCTCTCTCTTTCTCTCTCTCTCTCTCTCTCTGTCCCTCTCTGGTCAAACTAAAATAAATAAATAAGTAAGTAAATAAATAAATTAATTAAAGTTAAAAAACAAAAACATATGAGGGGCCTGCAAGTAGTGCAGTCTTTAGAGCACTGGCGTCCCACATGTCTGACTGCGGTTGGCGTCCTGGACCTGGTGGCTTGAGAGTCATGCCAGACACGTGTGTGTATGCATGCCCAAGGTCCTGGGAGGAGAATGGAGTAGGAACTGTGCTGGAGGTGGTTTCTCACTTTTCTTCTCTCTGTCTCTCACCAGCAAGGAAATGTGCCCTATGGCAAAGCACTAAAAACAAGAAAACTAGATGATAGGACAACAGATGACATGGTGGTTAAGGCACTGAGTCCCACGTGACTGACTCTGAGGTTTGAGTCTATGGCAAAACTCAAAAGATAAAAAAGAAGAAAGGAAGAGAGGGAGGAGGGAAACCAGATGCCTGAAAGCTCAAAAGGTTCCATTGAAGTGTTAAAACACACTAATTTCTTGTTTTGTTTTTGTTTTTTAGAGTGTACAGTGGTATACATACAGATACCTCTGTTTTATAAAAGAATTTTGCTCTAGGGCACATGCACTCACCAGTGAGAGAGAGGAGTAAGAGGAAATGAGAGAATTCATCCCAGGGGGGATGGCCATGCTGCAAGCTGCAATACCTTTTCCTTATTCTCCTCCTGGGATTTTGGGCATGAATATATACATGCCTGGTATGATTTTCAAGCCATCAGGTCCAGGACTGCAACCTTGGTTGGTCATGTGGGAGTCCAGTGCCTTAAACTGCCATGTCATCTGCTGGCCCCACAGTAGTATATTTTAAAAGTCACTCTTTATTTTCATGTAGCTAGAAATGTAAAAAAATAAAATCTCTTGCAGACCTAAGTTAAACTTCTCTCCCTGACTAATAAATTTTATTTAACTTTTTAAATTTGTTTATCTTAATTTGACTACAGAGTGATGGAGACAGGGAGGGGGTGGAGGAGAGAGAGAGGGACAGAAAGAGAGGGAGGGAGAGAGAGAGGAGAGAGAAAGAGAAAGAGAAAAAGAGAGAAAGAGAGAGAGAAAGAGAGAGAGAGAAAGTGAGAAAGCAAGTCACCATGTCCAGGACTGGTCAACCATGTAGAAGTCCAGCTCTCTCAACCACCATGCCACCTGCTGGCCCCTATGACTAATAAATTAAGAGCCAGAAAGTTATCATCTTTTACACTGCAGTTCAGCCTCCTTTGAAATCAAGAAATCACAGAAACCAAAGTAGACACCTATCTCCCAAATAAATCTTGAAGTCAATCTTGAAAGAGATTATGTGAGTGAGAGCTTTGAAGAAATAATATAGGAAAAAGCTTCTCTCGCCCCAGCCAGCCACCCAATATACAGCAAAAAGTCATACTGTCCTAAAGCCATATTTGCAAAACAGGAGTAATAACTACCTATGGTTTACATAGCACACGACCTACAAAGGCTCACAAATCTGATTAAGAATGGTGCTAATATTCCTTTTATTATTTACTTACTTACTTATTGATTGATTGTCTGATTGCCATAAGGCACAATGCACTTGCTGGAGAGAAGACAAGAGAAGGAGAGAGAGAAAGGAATCATCACCACACCTCCCACCTCCCTTCCCTGGGTAGAGGTGGGGTGGCCATGCAAGTCCGATGTGTTTTTCAAGCTGCTGGGCCCAGGAAATGAACCGCTGCAGTTAGCCAAGTTAACCTCCTACCACCTGCAAGCCCAGTGCCAAAATCTCTAAGAAATTTAAATAAAACAGAATCCCATAGTATCAAACATAATCTACACAAATGGATGTGATATATCCAGTAAATGGTGTGATGATTTAATATTAGAAACTCGACAGCAACAAAAAATTAATTAGGCTCTCTCAAGCAAGAGGTATTAAACCTCTGATTTGTATTTTACTTATCTCATAAACTTTATTGCTTCAGACATGAATAAAAGCAAAATATGTTTTTAAAACATTTTTGTTTATATTTACATTTTTTAAATTAAAACAGTGTTTTTACATTTTTTTAAATTCAGTTTTAATTTACTTTCATAACTTTTTCTTCGTGATCCAGAAATCTTAAAATGCAAAGAAAATGGACTTTCCATACATCAGGGACTGGCACTAAAAAAAAAAAAAAAAAAAAAACCTTGGACTCCAAATGACTTATACAGATATCAAATAGAGATCCAGTTATCAAATTAAAAGCACTCAGCATATTAAAATTTCACAATTATTTGTAGAGAGCACATAAAAAAATCAGCTTGTTAACCAACTGTTGTAATTTTAAAGAACTATTGCAGAGGTTTGAAGAAAATAGATTTATTACTTAACTTACAAAGAGATTAAAGAGCTAAAAACAAGTATTAAAAAAGAAATTTGTGCCTTTTATTAGAATGATGACATGCTTCAAATATACCCATTTTGGTAATCAACTGCAGAACTGCAATACTGGTCCAACAGTCGGGTCTTTACTTTTCTTTTAAAACAAGAAGCAGAAGGCAAGTAATCAGAAAGCACTAGCAGGCCATCAGTTAATCCAAGAGACTAGTTTCTTAGTTCCAAAAGCACTTGCCAAGAAAACCATTTGAGAGGTGGTGAGTGGTTGTTGAAAGCAATTTGGAATCCCATGAACATATATGCCAAGTCTTGTGAGGCCATTTTTGAATTTATCCTTTACTTGGTCACTTTTTTTCCCGTCAGATACTAGTTTTTCTTTGACTTTTTTTCTCCTCAAAGTATAAAAAGTAGGAAATATAAACAAGTCTTGCACTTCACACTTAAGATGTGTGCAATCCAAGCATTATAGAACTGTCTACACACTGATAAAGCCCATCAAATCTTGGATAATTCATTATATACAAAATACCAGCACACAGAAAGGAATAACTCCCGCCCCTTATTTTATTTATTTATGTTTTTGGTTACACATAAGATCCAAATATTCAGTCTAAAGAGAAACACTTAATCATTTTGGCCCTCTTCTATATCTGCATGTTGATACACTTGTTAAAATATTCCTATATAATCAATCATGTTTGGTCCTAGTATCTCAAGTCAGGTTTAAAACGTCAAAACCAGCCATCCCGACAAACAAGTAATCAGAAAGATTATCTCTTCCCCACCTCCCTAACCCCAATAATTAGAAGTCAATTTTATGACATGACTCCAAACACTGGGTTGTGACGACAAATGCTAGGTCCAAATTCTTCATAATCCTTGTTGGTGCGGCATGCTTGGTAGAACTCAGGCGTGGAAGCCTCAAACCAAACTGCATATATACTGCACGTGATGTGTTAGGACCTGTACATCAATAGGTTCTGGCTTCAATCTACTGCCACACAGTTCTTCGCTTAATTTCAGCCTGGCATCTGTTTGTTT